CACCTTAAACCTACTGAGTTAATCCTAAAGCACCTTAAACCTACTGAGTTAATCCTAGAGCACCTTAAACCTACTGAGTTAATCCTAGAACATCTTAACCTACTGAGTTAATCCTAAAACACCTTAAACCTATTGAGTTAATCCTAGAGTATCTTAAACCTTCTGAGTTAATCCTAGAACACCTTAAACCTACTGAGTTAATCCTAAAACACCTTAAACCTACTGAGTTAATTCTAGAGCACCTTAAACCTACTGAGTTAATCCTAGAACACCTTAGACCTACTGAGTTAATCCTAAAACACCTTAAACCTACTGAGTTAATTCTAGAGCACCTTAAACCTACTGAGTTAATCCTATAATATCTTAAACCTACTGAGTTAATCCTAAAGCACCTTAAACCTACTGAGTTAATCCTGGAGCACCTTAATCCTACTGAGTTAATCCTAGAGTACCTTAAACCTACTGAGTTAATCCTAGAGCACCTGAGACCTAATGAGTTCATCCTTGACGAAAGTTGCTAAAAAGTTAAAGCGAATTGGAAATAAAATAAAAGGCATCTTATAGAAAAATTTGCCTCAAATTTTGATTTTGGAACTCTGTACAGAACCACGGGAATATTTAGAGCTTGGTGTAAAAGTTCTAAATTGAGTATGTTGACTTTTATACAAAAAGATTAGTTTCTAGGTAAAGCTGACCAGCGTATAACTAAGTAAAAAAAGTGCATTCCCTGCCTGTATCGAAATATTTTAGTCATATTTTAACGTCTAACTCAAAATCCGTAAAAGTAGCGTAAAAGACATTAGACATAAAATGCATAAAAAAGCCAACACGAGAAATCAACATTTAATGGGTGAAAAATTGGTTCAAAAGTGAAGACTCACTGGATATTTTTTATGTTTTAGGTTCCGAAGCATGAGCTAGTTCTATAAAAACTATTTTATTTATTATTAACTATTTAGATCTGCTCTTAATAACTATTAGTTATTTAGTTATTTCTGTGACCGTATTTAATGAATTTGAGTCGCGTCCTAAATCCGCCAAAAACCGGTTTCAATTGAGCGCCGGCTTAATTCTTGAAACAATTAATACAATTTTGAGTGGAACCAACCATCTTTGAGCCGCGGCTTAAATTTAAACCTCTCTGCTCAAATTCTTTAAATTCGGCCTCGGGACAAAATATAATCTGAAAAGATTTTAAAAAAAACATTTTAGTCCATAAACGTAATAGTACACTGTGCCAAAATACTAGTGTTATAATTATTTTATAAAATGCTTGTGTACTTTTATAGATATTATAACAAGGTTTTCTCAGAGGCATAAATATAAAAGTTAATTTAAATACAGGGTTACCAACAAAGGATTGTAAAGACGACCAAAATAGAGATCAAATTAAATATTCTGCCTTGATTATAATCTTTTAAATTGGCTTATTCAATGATTAGGCAAAAAGAAAAACAATTTTTATCATAAATATAAGGAAACAGACAGTATAAATCATGTGAAAGCGTCTCTGAAGTTTTATGCATTGGGCCATGCATGGAAAGTTCTGGTTTTACAAGAACTTTTAAATAACAGAACGAATAATTTATATGTTGAAGGATTTGATGATTACGCAATAACTGAAATGATAAATATGTTATGTACTGAGTAATGATCAATGGTGCCTATCTGTGCATAATTTTGCATATTTTTCTTTTTTCTTTATATATATATATTCAAAAACAAATTTAAACTGCACCATTTATGTATGTATTTACATCTTTGTGTGAGAATAAATCTTTATAATAAAATAATATTGAAATTGAAATTTTAAAAAAATATATATACTTTATTTACTATAATTTCGAGGTAAATTAACATTTTAGCACGATGACTACTTTATAACACTGCTATATTGTAATTTACAATGAATTGACCTGGACCATGAGAACGAAAGTGGATTATAGTTTCACAGAAAAATGTATTAAAAAGTATAGTCATACTTTTTTTAAAGTTTATTTGTAAGCTAATATTATTAAAGTTTATTTGTAAGCTAATATTATTAAAGTTTATTTGTAAGCTAATATTATTAAAGTTTATTTGTAAGCTAATATTATTAAAGTTTATTTGTAAGCTAATATTATTAAAGTTTATTTGTAAGCTAATATTATTAAAGTTTATTTGTAAGCTGATATTATTAAAGTTTATTTGTAAACTAATATTTTTAAAGTTTATTTGTAAGCTGATATTATTAAAGTTTATTTGTAAGCTGATATTATTAAAACGTGAAAACAGATGAACCAAGCTGGTCCATTAGTGAATATTGATTTTTGTAACAACAAAAAGAAAAATCCAGTTTTTTGTTGTTTTAAAAATAAATACGAAGAAGCAATCATCTAAAAATAGTCAAAGAAAGAAAAAATAACATAACAAAAAATTCTAGAAGGATTTAATAAATTATACTTTTTATAAAATTCTACATTACAAAAATGAGTTATTTTTGGTGGAACTAGGGAGAGATTTTCTTGTGACGCGATATCTAAATATGCATATAAAGTTGTAATCTCTGTTTGTTTAGATGTCCTATCATAACTCAGGAACCCCTTGACCGATTTGCCTCAAATGTTAATTGGGGACCTCGATAGAAATATACCTAGCTTGGTTTAACATTTAGTTTAGTAGGTTGATTTTGAGTGAAAAACTTGGTTGCCAAGCAGCGCTGGGTTTCCAAGCTAGATTTATTATTATGCTGGTCAACTTTAGAGCCGGAAGTTGAAGAGAGTATCTTTTTAGGAAATTTTCCTTTTTGAAGCTTATACATTTGCGTAGATTTTAATTAAAGAAATCAGAACAACTAAAAGAGAATTGAAATAAATCACATAAATAATATTATTGAACAAAGATATTCATATCTACAAAATTGTCTGACCCCATTCATGAAACCGGATTTCCGATACTGGGCTTATCACGATACTTTGTCTTTAATTTCGGGCTCAAGAGGGGGGGGGGACCACCAGACACTGCGTCGCCACCTCAGTACCAGGTAACCATCCTAACAGTGTAGAACTGGAGATTTTAACTCTGTAAAGTATAATGACGCGCTAGCGTAGACCCAACTCCCATTCATTCGCAGCAAAATATAGCCTAGCAGAGATGTAAACCATCACGGTTTAGGTGAATGTGAAAACTCGCGTGGGTTAAAACCAGCGTTGAAATCTCTCAACATTAAAACTATAAAACCCAGCTGTATAATGAATCCTGTAAAAATACTTGTGAGAACACTTGTTATATTCACTGCTATATATACTGTGAAAGGGACAACGTCCCAAGAACTAGAAGAACAATTACTTAAAAATCTTGGAATGAAAAGACGACCTCGATCCAGTTCCAGGCATATCCCTGATCATATGATAAGAATGTACGAGGCCCAGTCGGGTTTAAGTTTTGAAACAACAAATTTTCCAACAGCAGGGAAACATACAGACACAGCAAACACTCTGAGAAGTGTACCTGCAACAAGAGACAGTGCTTTACTCAATCAAAATAAACTTAGAACTTTTTTAAAATTTGACATCGGTCATTTGCCGAACGAAGAGCTGAAAGCAGCCGAACTTCGAGTTCACATTAATCCCTCGCTGCGGGGGAAAGTGTCGAAAAAACATCGTCTTTTTAGCCTTTCAGTACTCGAGGTTATTCAAGCTAAACGAGGTTCGGCCCCGTTAATGAGATTACTTGATACTAAACCCCTGGATTGTTTAGATGAAGTTACAGAGGGTTGGTTTACACTAGACGTACTCCCTGCAGTGGAACGGTGGCAGGGTGGTAAGGGAAGCGGCGGGCTTGTTATTCAGATAAAAGGTGGTGGTGGGGGAGGAAGTGAGAATGTAGATTGGGCGGTCAGCTTCCCAACCCTTCTAATATACTCAGACGACGGACGGGGGAAAAGTCGAAGTACAAGAAGTACTAAACCAAAGCGGAAACATCGACGAAAACCAGGAACTCGACATAGAGATAGAAACTGTCGTCGGCACAAACTTTACGTCGACTTTCAAGATGTTGGTTGGAACGACTGGATTGTGGCTCCGCCTGGTTATCATGCCTACTTCTGCCACGGCGAATGTCCCTTCCCAATGGCGGATCATTTGAACTCAACAAACCACGCCATTGTACAAACTTTAGTGAACAGTGTAAACCCAAGCGCAGTGCCGCGTGCCTGCTGTGTGCCGACCGACCTATCACCGATATCAATGCTCTACCTTGACGAACAAGAGAAGGTTGTCCTGAAAACCTACAAGGACATGGTAGTGGAGGGGTGTGGCTGCAGATAGTCCTCCCCCCTCTTCTTGAATCTAACCTCGCAGGCTGTGTTAGCCCCCCCTGGGGGCGTATCTCTATTTTGGGTTTAAACCCCCTCGCCACCCTCCTCCTCAGTCAGGCGGTCAACCCCGCCCTCACGTATATACACTCAGTAATCCAGTTGATCAGCAGTAGAAGCAGTGGGATAGAGTAATCTTAATATTATAATTATGTAGCATTTCACTTTATCTATATTATATTAAAATAAATATTCAAACATTGTCAATTCTGCTTTTTTAAATGTATTTTTGTTTTGTAGTATTCAAATATCAAAGCAAAAGGAGATAATGCAAAAAAATAAAATGGCCCTTTTTTAAAATATATTTAATTCAATATCTAAACGTTTTTTTCTCATTTTAAGTCCTCGAACTCGTTCTTGTAAGTTTATATTTAATTTTTGGGGCATAATAAGAAATTAAAAATTCGATAAAAATTAAAGAAAATAGTTAGCTGTCAGGATATAATTTAAAATTGAATAGATTCATCAACCAAAAAGTGATCAAAATTTCACCCACCCCATATTCTTGAAATTTTAATTTCTTAAATACATATTTTTCTTTGCAATTGTGTTTCTGTTTGCGTATTATTATTATTTCAGATTAAAACCCTAATTCAATCTTTATATTCTTCATGTCTTCAGATCAAAAAAATATTATTTTCGATGGATATCTTTTTCCCTCTGATAACAATTGCATTAAACAGAAGACGGGGTAGTATATATTTGCAATTAGGTTTAAATAAGAAACCAGTTTGTCACGTTGTGTCTTGTAGATCTTAACATTTTTAATTTCTGCAAAATTTTGCAAAAAGCAGTGCGGAATAAGTTCAAAATAAACTGTTTATGGTTGAATTTCAAGTAACCGTTAATGCAAAGATGGCAATGCCTGATTCACAACGGTACCATTTATAACTTTGCTCGACAAATATTCTCTGCGACAGAAAACATAAAAAGCATCACAAAAAAAAACACTTTAAACCCTAGAAAACAATAATAATTTCCTTATTGATCAGATAAAGGTTTCATGGTTCCCTTTTAAATCGGGCATTGATATCTTTAAACAGGAAATTACATTTACAATCCCTTTAATGAGACCATGCAAGGGAAGTGCATTAGGAAATTTTGAAAACAACAACATATAATATCTGGGTGAAATATAAACAAACTCAGAGCTGTGTAGCTTTTTATATTTCTCTAAGCAAGAGCAATTTATAAACAAATTGGAATGTTATCGACTGACGACTATCTTCTCAATTGATAACATTTTAAAATATTTTATTTGGGAAGCAGAAAGGGTGAAGTTTCATAAAAAATAACTTTAAAAAAATTTATGATTAAATTAAAATGTTGAGTAGGCTACTCCGGATGCCGATTACGTCAGAACAGTTCAGGTTTAATACTTGAGATAGGAATTCAAGATTGGAACAGGATACGTCCTCCCAACACAATTCAGGACGCGTCGGGTCCATTTTCATTAATTTTTAATGTTTTCTTTTACATGAATATGAACATATCACAAGCACTAATAGTCAACAGAATTGTGGGGCGTTTTTTAGCTTCAAGGGTTTTCGAATTTTTAGAGGCCTAACAATTTGTGAGATATTTTTTCATTGCTAAATTTTATTTTCCTGAAGTTGGCTTTATATTTTTTTTATCACGATATGCAAAAAAAACGTATTTTTAACCATAAGATTTTTTTAGCTGAAAATAGATGGATAGGCTATTCAGCTTCTCTGTAATTGACAAAAACTGCATAATCACGGTAAAATAGGTCCTCATTAATTAGTCCAGTGAGTTATATTCTAAAGAACCATTTTCACCCCGGAAATGCTTATCTTTTGTATTATTTGTATCAAGGACCCCATGGGATATACCTAGCTTCTTGAGTTGAATTGTCATTTTATATTTTCTTGTTTGACTCAGTTTTTAAGATTTTTAAGTAGGTCTCATCACACTATTTTAGACAGATATTGAATGAGAGATCATTTATGATTGGAAATATTGGTGGATTCTCATTTGAACTACTGCCGTTTGAACTATGGTACGTTTGAACTATTGTTCGTTTGAACTATTGTTCATTTGAACTACTGACATGACGTCATATCCTGTATTTTAAATCAACGCATTTCTTGCTCATTTGAACTATTTTTCTACCCCAATTCAGTTTTAAAATTTTTTTTATTCTTCATAAAGTTATATTCATGACAATTAATTAGATAAACATTACACAGAATGAACATAAAAATAGTTCAAATGAACACAAAAATAGTTCAAATGAACATAAAAATAGTTCAAATGAAATAGTTCAAATGAACATAAAAATAGTTCAAATGAACATGAAAATAGTTCAAATGAAAAAAAAAATAGTTCAAATGAAAAAAAAAAGTTTAAATGGACTAAAAAATAGTTCAAATGGACAAAAAAATAGGTTATGGTTAGGTTAGGTTAGGTTAGGTAAATAATAGTTCAAATTAAACTATTTTTTTGTTCATTTGAACTATTTTTTTGTTCATTTGAACTATTTTTTTATTCATTTGAACTATTTTTTTATTCATTTGAACTATTTTTTTCATTTGAACTATTTTTATGTTCATTTGAACTATTTTTTGTTTATTTCATTAATAATATTTTAATAGTTCAAATGAAAATAGTTCAAATGAACTAAAAAATAGTTCAAATGAGCAATATATTTACTCGTTTGAACTATTGTTCATTAAAACTACTCACGTGGTACCACGTGCAGTAGTTGAAATGAACAATAGTTTAAATGAACAATAGTTCAAACGGCAGTAGTCCAAATGAGATAGCATCGAAATATTCCGATACAGACGGGATACACTTCGTTGTCATGTTACACTTGTAATGTCGTATTTGTTTCTAATATTTTTCAATTTATTTTGAGTGCAACCCAAGATTAAGATAAACCTCATCCTTTTCGCTATAGCATCTTTATCCTTCTCAATTTATCTTTTGACTAAACTAGTTTTTAAAGCTCCCCCTTCCCCCCCCCCCACTCCCAAATAACAAGAAGAGTTGGATTACAAGGTCTGCAGAGTCATGTATATTTTGTTCCTATAAATAACTCCACTTATTTAATATTCACAAAACCATATTTTTATAAACATACATTCTTGAAAATTTGAAACAAGGTATAACAGAGGTTTATCATTTTTAAAAAATATTTTTTCTTTTCCCTTTTTCTTCTTCTTTCTTTGGAACTATGTTTTTTTCGACATGCACAATACGTTATTACAATTTCGAAGTTGATAAACGTTAAAACAAGTTTCATGAAATTGTTTTAAGTACTGCAGTCTCAGAATATATATAATATAGAATAACAGGTGGCACCCGTATTGGTATGACATTGTAAACATGTATTGGTATGTTATTGTGTACATTTAGTAACACGGATCAGACATACAAGATAAGATTTCATTCTTTTTCAAAAGATGAAAAGTTAAAAAAAAAACGTAGAGTAACTTCACAGGAAGGCCAGGTTTCTGGAAAACTCATTAGTAGAATAATTATAGTAAATGAATAATTCTTATGGTAAAATTATTGATGTTTGTTCAGCTTGTATCATAGAAACTCATTAGTAGAACAATTATAGTAAATGAATAATTCTTATGGTAATAAGGGTAGAAATAAATAAAACAAGTAAAAACGGAAAGAGAGGGGGGGGTTACACTTTGTGCCTGCAAGTGATTTGAAATTTTAGACATTTCTGACAATAAAAAGGATATTTTTGCCATTTAACCAAGTCACAATAGCGCCAAATTTAATAATTTTATCAGCAAACCAGTTTTTTTTCTTTTAAATCGACATCTTTGGCCTAGAGATGAGCATCGTTTTTTAGAACGAAATTGTTCGTGTTGAGAAAAACACGAACGATGGATGAACAAAATTGTTCAGAAAATGAAAAAATTATAAATTATATAAATTTAAAAACGAACAATTTAAAATCGATCACACGATCTTGATCGTTCCTGAACGATTTTATTAGTTTTTTACCAAACGAACGAGTTGTCGAATTATTTTGAAGAAAAAAACCTATCCTTTTTCCCTGAACGAACGATTTTTCAAACACATTTTAAAAGAAAAATAGTTTTTTTACTGAAAAAAACGATTTTTCCTTAAAACGTTAGATAAAAACGATATTTTTTATTAAACAATAGATTTTATTGAACTAATGATTTTTCGGAACAACCAATTTTACTGAACGAACGGTTTTACCGAACGATGGTTCAGAGAGAAAAGAAACGAAATAGATGAAAAATGAACAATAATTTTGTGAACGAACAAAATCAATTTTTTAAACGAAATGTGCCGTTCACGACGAAAAACAAAAAAAAGCCGAACGCGCCCATCTCTTCAGTGCAGTGGGCCGCAACTTGTGTATCAACTCTTTTTTTACATTTCAACATCTCAACTTTTTACTTTAATTCCCGTTGTATCAACTTTATATAAAAGGTTACCCACAAAGGATAAGATTGTAAAGACGAGCGGAAACTCTTAAAATGTGACGATACCAAGGTTAAATTATATATTCTAAAAAATAGTTATCTAATGGCTCATTTAAAGATTTTGCACTGAAACAAACAAGTTTACGATTGTATGGAATCGTGAATATAAGGAATCAAATTCCGTAGAGTCGTCTCTATAGTCTCATCCTTTGTGGGTAACCCTGTACCTGCAGACAAAGTACACGGTAGTACATATTGATTTGTACTGTAATCTGTACTATGTGCCCATATATGTAATTGTTGGATTCTGTGTGGGTGACTTCATTCAATTTCATCATTCATTGAAAGATATAAAGACCAAGATATAGAGACCAAGGATATAGAGACCAAGATATAGAGACCAAGGATATAGAGACCAAGATATAGAGACCAAGGATATAGAGACCAAGATATAGAGACCAAGGAATAGATACCAAGATATAGAGACCAAGATATAGAGACCAAGGAAAAAATAAATGAGCAAAAGCGGATAGGTACAGCAATGAATACATTGTTGAGCGATTTTATCAATACAATAAAGACGACTTTCGATTTAAATTTTTTTTCTAAGAAAGAACTTTACAATTGTTCACAAAAGTATCAGGGATATTTATAGATTTCCGCCCCCTGCCTAAAACACTATATTTATTGTTTGCCATATTTTTTTTAAAATCTTTTTTTTATTCGTTAAACTTGTCTTCATAATATTCTTTTCCTTGCTACCCT